TCTAATAGGAAAATTCTGAAATTTTTAAATTTATTATCTTTCAGCTTAAAAATTTAAAAGTTTAGAAATTTTAAAAGGATTACGTTGATAATTACTTCAATGAATAATTCGTTCCATTTTGCTAAACCTGTTATCCGTATCAAGTCGTTTGTCTTGCAGAAAGCCATGCGCGTCTCGAATATCGTTACCTGTCGGACAATCGATCAAGATGGAGCACTTAGTTCGATGGATTATCTTAGAATTCCATTCGACATTCCTCGAATTATTCCCCCGTTTCACAAATGCTAATCAAGTTGACACTGCGTTTAGCAAATCGACGATGATACTTCATCTGTCTACGTTATTCCTGTCTTTCATACATCCTGTTTACACAGACTTCATTGTCAACCAACCTTTGAACCATCTACTACTGCTACTTCAAATATACATCTTCCATCTACTTCTATTAGAATGTATTAGAATAACTGGTCTTCGAAGAAGGTAATTTTTTTTTCTACTTACTAATGCTACTTACCATTATGCTACCTATTATCACACCTAATTTAAATATTTTTATATTTTCATAATTTCGAAAAAAAAAATCGAAGAATCAAAGAGACAGAAATACGGATTCGAAATTGAAAAAAAAACTTGGATACGTATAAACTTTCGTTCGACCATTTATCGATAATTCCACCAATCAACCCTCTCCACTGCCGTGTGCAGTCCCCTTTAGAGAGAGCCACGGCGGTCCCTGGGGCTGGAATATTGGCTGTTGTACGTTATGTAGGTACCAGCGTGCAACCTGCGGTGCAACTTGTCAGCCAACATCATTATCGATGCCGGCTCGGCTCGATCGAGACCCGTGCTTTTATCGCGACTTCGTTATTTATATCTCGCTCCGCTTGCCAATAACTAATAGAGATCCTTGCCTTCTCCGCGCTGGCACAAGTCGATATCGTGCCACGATTCCGTTTCATCGGCCATCTTGAAGCCCTCCCTCTCTTTCTGTTTCGTTATCTACAGTCGCGAATTTCTTCTCGACAAATTAATACGGAACTTCAATAATTAGACTATTGTTAGATTTCTAGAAGAGGGAAATAAATTAGATTCTACGTTCTTTTTTTTTTTCTTTTTCTTTTTATAGACAAATTTTATTGTTGTACTTTCAAAACTGATAAAAAGTTACATTTGTTGTACATTTCGTAAGTTAATAATTGATCAATTTATCGTTTTGTAAAGGTGATTGAGACCCTTCTTGCAGATCCAACAACAAGATTTATAATTTATCTCGTGAAAGAGAGATATCAAATTTTATTCCAAGGATCGCTCATATTAATCACTCTAACCTCGTAATTTAAGAACCGTAGGATATTACGTCACCTAACCTAAAACAACCTGAACAGACAAAGTAAGCCAGAAAGTTTCAAAGAAGTTGGGCCAAGATCCAAAAATATCTACTCAAATTCTCGCTCAAATCCAAGCTAATCAATCATTCAAACCGATCTAAGGGTGACCAAGGAGAAGTACGACCATCCCTAACAGTCCAGGTGCAGGTAGATTTGGAAAGAGATAGAGAGCGAGACCGAATGAGCGAATGAGAGAGATAGAGAGATTTGGAGGTTGAAAAGCGCAAACCATACTTACCACCGGAGGGTAGAGACCCCCGGAGCGAGGATGCATGTGTTTCACACGTGTTCCACTGTCCCTCTTCCCTCTCCACCCTCAGCCCCGACCGACAAAAAACGCGAAAAACGTGCCACTCTCCTGGTGCATCGTCGACTCGCATGGTGGACGCATCGCCATATGCATCCATTCGCTCCGGACAATGTTCTGTAATTGCACGTTTCGAAACATGGGGAGGGAGGGGTGGGGAGGATTTTTCGTGTGCCGGCGAACCCGGTTCCCGCAAAAACGATGTTCCGTCTGGTGGAAGCCGTTCCTTTTTGCTCGAGCCCGGCCCCAGAACCACTTCCTCTTCCTTTTCGGGAACAAGACACGCCTCTTTCGAGAGAAAGAGAGAGATAGAGAGAAAGAAAGGGCCTCCTTAAGGGCCGCCAGAACGAAAAGTTTCTTTTTTCCCTTCCAGATAGTTCTTTCTCGCGAGCGTATATTTATAAGTATGTTTAATCTCTGGGACAGTTGACACGGAGGTGATCTTGATGGGACTAGCGAGCTTCTTGCGAGCTGTGAGTTGTTAATAGATTTCCTTAATGAAGCAATATCGATATATATATAGTTTATATTTTGGACAAGGAACGGAAATTGAAACGTAATAAAATATATGGACGATATGTGGAGGCGTAGAGATATAGGGAATATCACTAGGATATAGGGATAAAAATGATATATGTTCCTATGGATTTAGGAACATATAGAAAAATAAAGATACATAGTGATATATATGTAAAATTATAGAGATACGATGATATAGAAGAAGGAATATTAGAAAACGGAATATATAGGATATAATGATAATTAAGGGTGATAAATAAGAATATAAAGATAAAGGATAAAATGATACATTCGAATCGAAATCTTAGAAGGATTTTCGAATTATTATCGGAAATACGTATCGATTAATTAATTTCCGCAAGAGGCTCGAAACGTGAAAACGTTTATCTTTATTTCCGCGAGCAGGCTCGCGTGAAAGCAACACCGGCGCACACGCGAGAAAGGATGATTCATCGGAGTTAGCCTGTTGCAGACGGATCGACCTCTTTTCCTCGATGCACCGGTGTAGTAGCCGGTGTACAGGCGCATGTATCCAACTCGTGTGTACAGGTATATCATGGCCCCTTTGGATAGTGTTGGTGCGCGCAACGACCTCTTTCCTCGCTACCGCAAACCGCAGGCGCAACCCAATTTTTGCCCCGAAAAAAGAACTGGTAGAACCTGAGTGTCCCTCGTCTCGCCGCTGGACACCGTCTGCGTAAAAGAGTTTTTTTTTTCTTATGGCCACGTAAGATCGAATTCGAGACGTTGGGTTACCATTTTTGATCAATATAGTTGATTATTAATTCGATTTGATGTTGTAACAGGAAGGGAGATAAGATTATTTTAAGGTTAGGTTTGAAATTTGAATATTTTTCTATATTTTACAGAATCTTAGAAGAGATCTCTTTGGAATTCATTTTTTTAGAAGTTAGCGCGCGAGTACAATGAACCTGGTTGATTCGTTCAGCTGATTTTTTCCACCAACGTAAAACGCTTCCCCGTGAACGAGACTTTACACGGCATTGACCGCGCGTGGTAACACCCAAATAGCGATGGTCTCGAGTTGCACACGATCAGAACAATTTTATTCATTTATCCTTCAAATTTTCAGTTTATCATATTTGTCGTAATATTTTTTCTTTCGTTTAATAATGTATACTCTCGTTTGAATATCTAATTTCGTATTTTCGAATGATTTTTATTACACTCAAAAAGAATAATGTGCTCAAAGATTGAAGAGGTGAGTATCCAGCGCTACTCTCGAAGCTCGCATGTACACCCGTTTCTTCTTTTTCTCTTCTTTCTCCCTTCGCTGTTCCAACGATCCGTCTTAATATTCGATCCAACGTTTCGTATCTCGGAGGTCGGCGGTTTTCGCTTCCACGACCACAATCACGTTGCACTTGTACTTATATAGGGACACGCTACTTTCCTCTTCGCGGTTGACGTGCTTGCAAAATTTATACGGGCTTGCCTGTTAATTAACGTCAACGAAACGATCGGATCGCGGCATTTCGATAAAAAAATGCTGATCGATAAAGAACGGCCACGTGAAATACGAGATTTATTGATGATTTCTGGTGTTTTTCTGCTTATTCCAAAGAATATATATTTTTTTCCATTTTTTTTCCTTCGATTGAAAAAATTGTGAATTATAATAAATATATATATATAGTAAATATTATTTGGAAAGTTAGTTATTTTTTTCTAGTGATTTTTTTATGTTCGAAAACAATTTAACATCTAGTGAAATATATTTTCATTTTTAATAAGTGTTAATATTGACCTCATAAATGCGTCAATGTTCACCTGATTTCCGTTCTCGTGCTATTAATATTCGTGAGGTGAGTATGGCGTGTTCCATTTGACGATATACCGTCTTAAGTATTATTCGAAATTAACTTTATTAAATATTAATATTCATAACACGATTTTAATATCCTTCCTTTAAGAAAATGTGCGCTACAACGATCAAGTTTTTCCAAGTCGATTACCATTAATTTTATTCGTTTATTTATCAATAATATTCGCAAAGCCAAAATTTCATTCCATTAATAAAAAATATATAACGCATTGAAAAAAGAATGTTTTAATATCTTAAATCACATTTCCATAAATTCGATTCTATTCAACGATTGGAAATAAAGAAGAAACAATTTCAAATTCTTCCGTTTCTTATCACATTCCACGAGCGAGCGACCTATCCACCAGACAGAGGAGGCGCGAGAGATCGAAAAAGCGATTGCGATTCGAAGCGTCTGCGTGACACGGTGTCTCATTATTTGCGGCTGAAGGAGGAGGAATCAGTTGTCGGGACACGTATTAGTCGCCGTACGTGGCGACATCCGCTAATCAAATACAAGTGTTCGTCAGCAGTCCCGTATTATAGAGACGTAGACGTAGCGAAGTCTGTTTTCGAGCTCTGATAGCCGCGATAAATACGCGTTTAAGCGCTCTATAATTATTGTCGCGTGCGTTGCATTTTTAAACCTTGCCGCCATTCGTTGCCCCGTCCGAGGAACCGATGAAACACGATCTTTTACGAAGATAGTCGAAACTTTTTCTTTCGTATTTCGATACAAATATCGACACAAGGATCGAAGAAGTAGAAAGCTGTAGAAAATTTCTTTTGCGACAAGTGATTGTTTTTCTTCGCAATTTTAATCTTTTTTTTTTTCAAAATATTCGGTAGCAAGTGATGAATTATTTACACATTGAATAAATTCACGTTCGCATTCGTTTTCGGTTAATTGATACTTTCAAATTCACCTGAATAGAGGTATGTTTTCAAAAGTTTGAAATTACATTTGGTTAACATTTGTGAACTTGTTCATGATTCTTTTAAACGTTGAAAGATATTTATTCTAAAGAATTTTAAAAACAGACGATGGTGATTAAAAATTTCCTAGGCGCGTATAGTTTCGTAGGAAGAGGATATGATTGGTCGGCATAAAGAATACATGGTAACCGAGTTGACCGATCATGGGCCATGGATGGTCGTTGGGTCGGTTGAGGAGACCGTTGTAACAGTACCTCACGTGCCATAGAGATCCCATAACCGGCTGCGCGTAAAAAAATACGCTTCGGTGCAATCGGTCAGTTGGGATGCAACCGAAGCGAAAAGTATAGTCGAGCAACTGTGAAAATAAATGTATAATTTCTCTCTCACATTCTTAATTCAAAGTTTCTTTTAAAGAATTATAATGATCAAAGTAAATTAATTTTTTCGATAATTCTTACGATACTTCTTCGAAGCTACGAAAACTTAATTAATAGAAATTATTTTAAAAAAGGTAATAATTATAGGTAATAATTATTCGATATTCTACTTCCTCTCAAAATTTTTGGATTTGGCAAAATAAATTCGATAATTTATTTAATAAAAATTTCTTAAAAAAAAAAAGAACTAAACTAGTACTATTTTTATTACATGAAAACTGCATCTCGGTAGAAAATTTTTGGATTCTTCAAAAGAAAATTATCTTTGCTAAAATTACTTTTGCTTTTTGTCCAAATAAACCAAGATCCAACCATATATTACCATTGATTGAAAACTATAACTCGACAGATCTTGGAAAATTCTGAGTTGGGCTCCAAAAGAAAAGCAAAGGATTTGGGAAAAGTATCGGTCCCAAAGTCAAGAAGAAGAAGAAGAAGAAGAAGAAGGAAAGGAATGGAGGGAGGGCCCGTAGCAGCTGGTCAAACAACTCTGAAGCCACTCGGGGCCCGGATCTTCCAGGGATCCTCGGTTGCACGTACGAGGTTACACGCGAGGGGCCCCTCCTCGTCCTCGCGCACGACCTCGAAGTTTTAATTACTCGTCGGGGTATCATCCCCCTGCCAGGCTTCGTACGAGGTCATCGTACGAGGATCGTCTCTAAGAAACCGAGGATGGGGAGACATGTCCCGATTCCTCCGCCTCGAGGAAGGAACACGATGATAGCTTGTTCAAATTGCAAGTCTTTTCTTTTTTTTAACCCTTGTTGCCTGATTATTGAAACCTTGATCCTCTTCCTCCGGGGAAGTTGTTCTTTTTTCTTTTTATTTTCGTTGTTTTTGTTTTTTCTTTATTTTTTTTTTTTAGCTTCGATTCATAGAATTTTCTTTTACAAATTTCCGATAAATTTTGACGATTTTGTAATAATTATTATAAGTGTTATAGGTGAAAGACATTCGTACAAAATTCGAAAAAACTGTTTGAAATTTTACCTTTTTTCCAGAAAAAAGAAATCTTCAGATTTATCAATTCGAGTTTTCTCCTTCAACGAAAAATAAAAAGAGATTAATCGGCGAAATGCAAAAATTCATCAATTCTTAAAATTCTCTCTTCTTTGTATATAATACATAAAAAAAGGAAAGAGGGAGGGGAAAAAGAAGAAACGTGCAAACGAGCACCGCTTGCTGTTTGCAAATGAAACACGCCCACGATCTTCTCGGGGCATGCGTGCTTAGCTGCGTAAACGTGTGACTCGCGGTTGATCTAAGCGATCGTGAATCACCGACCCACCTTGGGGGTTGCAGGGAACACGGAGAACGTCCAGGTATCGTAATTCCTCCCTTCGTTTCATATATTACGATGCTCGACGACTTGAGTCGTAGATTCGTATATTTTTTTTCTTATCTCACGAAACTTCCAAGTTAAATAGAAACTCTATTAATTATCTAAATCCATTTCTTGATACAATAAGAATAATAAAAAACACTGTTGACTAATTAATTATTAATAAAGATAACTATTATTTTATTGTATATAAAATTCCCTATATTTGTACATAAAATTCCCTATAGTTATATATATAAATTCCCTATATTTATATATAAAATTCCCTATATATTACTTTGTTCGATGCACGAGTCAAAGCAATATAATAGTAATATTCGTATCACTGTGAATTGTACTTTCATACTCTATAATTATTACTATTGAACAAAAATTTATGGGACACCACTGTGGCTAGAAGGAGAAAAAGAAAGACCGCAACACAAAGATGAAAGCTTAATATAATAATATCGAAAAATATTCGTATCACTGTGAATTGCACTTTCGATGATAAACCACAATAGTTGAGCATCATAAGGAAGAGCAAACTCTTACTTTCGACTATTACCATTGGATAAAAAAACTTATGCACGAGGATGAAAGATCGATTTATAGGACGAAATTGTGGGCAGAAGGAGAGAGAATAACAGGGTAGAGAATCGAGTGCAACCGAGTTTGATGGTGGCGGTGTTGGTAGGCGGATGACGAGAGTGGTGGTGGTGGACCGTCACGCCACATAGTGTGATAGCGGCGCATTAAACGGCCAATCCTGCACTCTTGGCCCAACCTACAAGCTCGAGTCAAGCGGAACCTGTGAGATTCGAGATCGAGATTGAACTCCACCAAGGATTCGGAGGATCTCTGGTCGCACAGAGAAACTTGACCGATTCGTTTTTTCCACTCGTTTCACTCTTCCGTTTTTTTTTTATTTCCCGTGATACGTTACGTGATGAATAATTGGCCTCTGTTAACTTTAAAAGATAAAGGTTAAAACGTATCAACAGAGAGCTTTTCTTTTGAAAATATGTAAGAATAAATATCATCTTCGATAAATGTTTTAAATTAAAATTCTTTTATTCAACAAATTTCTTTTTTAAACGCAACAGGTATTCTTTTATTTTCTATCATAAAATTAAAAATTCTTATTTTTCCTTTGAAATAATTTTCAGAACCAATTAAGTCTCCATTATTCATCATTTATTTGCATGCATCTTCTCTATTTATATTCTCAAAGATGATTACTAAAACCAAATTGAATAATTTAACAAACATTGGATATATTTTCATACACAAGGATTTTAACAACGGTTAAAAGGATTGATTTTAAAATGTGCACATGTGGACCTTCATTATTTATCATATTTAGACATCCTCAGGTATTTTTAAAATATCCTTTTCTCACTTGTCATAAAGTTAACAATCTCTTATCCTCCCTTTCAAATAATTTTCAGATCCAACTTTAAATCTCCATTATTATCAAAACCAAATTAAAATTGAATAATTTAACAACAAGCATTGGGTATATTTTCGTGCACAAGGATTTGAACGACGGTTAAAAGGATTAATTTTAAAATATCGTGTGTCTTGCTTCTTTGTTCGCGAAAAAGCATGGAAGTCGTCGCTGGGCATGCTAACACCCTCGCAGGGCGCGGTTCAATCAATTACTGTGGCGAGGGTGCGGTCGTCCCTGCGCGAGTTCCACCCCTCGCATGGCAACAACCCAATCTCTCTCCTTCCTTTCCTCCTCTTCTTTTCCACGATAAGTTCCACCTTTTAAAAGGAAGCTCGAGAATTCGTCGAATAATTGAAAAGGAACGACGATTAACCTTCTCTTTCTCCCTTTTTCTTTTTTTAATACCTGTCCTGATTCTTTACTCTTTACGACGAATAACCAGTCGATCGATTTTGTCTTTTGCCTTGGCAAAGTCTCGTTTCAAAGTATCGATCATGGTTGTTAACCCTCGAGCCAGGTAATTATTACTTTAAGCTTTCTTTTTTCTTTTTTTTTTTTTTTTTTAATAAGATAGTAGGTTAAAAGCATACCATACTTTTTTCTCATATTTAACGAGGTATTTATTTAAGGTCCACTGCACTGGCTGAATTAAATTTAACCAAATTGGCTACTTTGATCTTCTGGCTTTATTGGTTTTACTTAAAAAAAGAAGAAAAAAAATTGCAAGGTCAATTATCAACCTTTCCTCTTATTCTTGAGAAATATTTTACAACTTATTTCTTTGCTGGCAACAATTTTGAAATTTGTACATTTCTGTGCAAGCAGTATCAATGTATGTATTTTGAGATATTAATATTTATATATCTATCTGTATATATATATATATATATATCACATGATCATTATTTTTGCAAATTTATTGTTGAAAGAAATTCAGTTTGTAAATCAGTTATATATATATATATATATTATTTTTTCAAGAAAAAATATTATTATTCCTATTAATTGAATTTAAAATAGACTATTCGCCATTTCCAAGTGCCACGGTTAAATTAAGATGCGAAAGGGGATGGTGGATCGAGGATCGAGGATCGGGATTCCTCCTCGATCGATTATTTTTACTCCAGATTGGCGGTGGGTCCTCGCTTCCTCGTCGGTGCGAGACGTAAGTTTATTTATGCGTCATCGGTGTTAACACGATTTCCACGGGCCTGTGTCGTACGAATAAGAGGGAAGAGAAGGAGAAGGAGAAAAGAAGAAGAAGAAGAAGAAGAAGAAAAAATCACTTTAAAATACGAGACAAATGATGTCTTTTTACCCTCTGCGCGAGGAAGGGAGCGTAGCGATTTATTTGCGTTGTTCTTAGAACCCACCACGACGTGGCATACTTTCGTAATCTCTTTTTTTACGACTCTTTAACGATTTTTTAATCATTTCTTTTTTTTTTTATTTTTATTTCCTCGAATAATCTTTTTTTTCCCCACTCCACCTCGCCATTTTTTCGATCATCTTCGTCCCATTTCTCGAGGGAGAAGACGAGTTTAATTGACTTTGAAAAAGATTAAGATTAAATCTCAGGTGTCTGTAAGGATGAGGAATCGAGAAGATTAAGAAGAAAGTTTATTTTTTGATCCTTAAATCTCCATATATATATATATTGATTGAAAATAAAATTCTCGCAGATTATTCACGAGAGTGGAGTTAAATAATCACTCACAGTGTTTACTTAGCGAAAAATATTCGTAAGAGCTACTCTCGACCTGTCACTCTTTCTCAATGGTTATTACATTAATAGTAAAAGTTACTTTCGAATAATCGGAAGGTAATATTCACTTGTAAAAAATATTCGTGAGGATGGATACTGTGTTAAAAATCATTTTCGTGCAATAGTCTGTCTAAAAGTTATTCTTCATCCAGTGGGAACTGCATTCGGAATAAAAATTGCCAACTTTATATATAAAAAAATATTCACAAGCGTAATTTTCAATAAGGAATAAAATTATTTTTATCCATAATAATTTTACCATGTTAAAAATGGTACACTCTAGTGAGAAAAAAAATATTCGTGAAAGCGAGGAAAATTATTCTCGCAAACTCGGTGTCCGTTTACACACACAAAAAAAAAAAAAAAGAAAAGGAAAAAAAGAAAAAGAAAAAGAAATCTCAAGAACGAGAATTTGAAACGGTATTCTATTATAATGGCCGAGTTTTAAGTTTCACACGAATCGGATAAATTGGTCGAGGTAAATGTCGACAATGGATGTCACGGGGGTGGGGGAGGGGGGAAGGGGCGCAAAAAGCGACGAAGAATCGCTCTTCCTCTTGCCGGCCTGCTCCTCGTCGGATGATACAGTGCAAGGGACACCGGGATCGGGTCCCTGACGACGCCACGTCTAAATATATCCACTCTCCGTGACACTTGTTTCATGTAAATCAAGCCCGTGGACGAGACGAAAAACCGAGACGATGCTGGAGGAAACGGCCTCGAGATATTCGAATTCGTCACGAGAATCCAGCCGAGATACATACATATTTCTTCAAATTCGATTTTGTAATCCTTCCATGTAGCAGAGGACACGACAGTTGAAACTCGCCCTCTGTTAAATTTTATTATCGTCCCATTTTAAAAATTTTCGATATTTAATTCGTTTCGACTCTTCGCTCCGGATCATTTTATCATTGCTACGATTTCGTACTGGGATAATCTGAAAAATAACAGATTTTAAACCAACGTCGAAATATTTCTTACTTCGATTTACCTTTTTCTTTCTCGATAAAAGTTATATATGTATAAAACTCTCATTGAAAAAGTTTATATTCGTTTAATATTCTTCGCTCGATGTATCGATACACGCGATATATGGATCATCTTATCGTATCCTCGAAGAGATACTAATATTCTTTGAATATGATGGAATGAAAAAAAAAATAAATAAATAAAATAAATAAATAAATAAAGCAAGTATCGAGAGATATTTCCAAATATCGAACGTCAAACAAGATAAAAGATGAAATAGGAATGCACGCCACGATTTTCCCACGTCCAAACTTCCGCTCCATCTATATATCGTTATCTACAACTACTCGACAAACTCGGGACGAAAACTCGGGCAGGCCTGGCGTAAACGATAACGATCGTCTGTTGACTCTTCGAAAGAATATCGATCATCCATCCTCGGCCCCAAACTCGTCGATTATCTCCTCGAATGAATATTTGCAAGAAACGTCTCCGCAGAGATAGAAAACCGTGAAGATTCGAAGGTTCTTTCTCTCGAGGATAGAGAGGTTAGGTTAGAAAATTCGTTTGTTTCTCTGCCTGTTTAAACTGACACGGAAATGGTAAATATTGCCCGTGCGAAACGTGGTTTGCGCTTGGAAGATCAAGGGATTTCTCCTTGGGTAAGAATTTTTTTTTTTTTTTTCTTCTCTTTAAGTTTTTTCAAGTTTCGACGAGCCTGTTTCACAATTATATTTGACTTCGACTTTCAACTTTGTTATGAATAGAGAGTAGCCTTGACGAAAGGAGAAGAGAGAAGAATACCTCGTGTGGAAATTATTGTATTATGAATTTCGATGAAATGGAAATTATTTCCAACGATTTTTTCTAATTTATCTGCTGCAATATAAGTGGAAAAATCGAGAGAAAACAAGAAGAGAAGCGATTCTTCGATTCTTTGTTTCCAACTTTCTGGGATCCTTAAGAAGCTGGAAGATTGTTATACGAACGTGGTATAAATAAATGATAATCGATTGGACAAAAGTTGTTTGCGAGAATTGGAAAAAAGTTGAGCGGAGGAAGTAAAATTTATAACACGAAGAAAATCGTTATTTACGGCCTCCTTAAGTGGATCGTTAGCCCGTGATCCGATTTAGCAAGAACAACCGGTCCTCCCCGCTGGATCGGCCCGATCATCTGAACAAATACGAGACACATGCTCAAATAGAATATTCGTTGCTTTGTTGTCGTCGATAAGCTGCTTAACACCGTTGGATTACCATAGCCACACTACCGCATTAATTACTCGTTCCATTGTAAACGAATTTTTATTCTTCTATAAAATTATGCTTAAAATTAATACATTTTCATAGTTCACATGTTACAAATTTTGGAAGTATTTAAAAATAATTTAGAAATAACGACACTCGATTGAAGTAAAATCGTTAAGAATTTGTTACAATTATTATGCGATAATCTTAAATTATAAAATTATATTTTGTCGAACGATACAAGGAGGAATACGAAACATTCGAAAGTAGTTCCATGGAAAGTATTTTTTTTTTTACAAATGGATACGCCTTCAGCGTAATTTTCACTCTTAACACCGCTTGCGAAAAAAATATATTCTCCAACTCGCGATAATTCTACTCTCGACTGAGCATGCATCTTATAAGGGTTATAAGATAGATTCGAGAGTAAAACTCTCGAGCCAATGTCACTTTCGAAAGTTAGTTTTTCACTTTTGCGGCGAGAAATTTTACTTTCGAAGGGGAGAGAGAATTTTTTTTTTTTTATTACATATAATTTTTCGAGAATGGAAATTATTCTCCATAGTGGTTTTCGAATTTCAAATCGTATCCTTGAATAAACATCGATCGAAAGAAACCTCTGCTCGATGCATCATTGTCATGGCTGCTTCCTCGCGTATCTCTCTCTCTCTCTCTCTCTCTCTTTTACTTTCTTTCTCCGTTCCCCACGATGACTAAGAGTTTTCATATCAGGTGATCAGGTCGAAGGATTAACACGGCGTCCGCTTAAAAACTTGGCCTGCTGATCATAGATGCGGTATTCATGAAAACGAAAGCATTCTGTAACTCTTCTCGAAGGTTACATAATGTATCAGAAGACAACGGAACCTGGGCGAATCGCATTATACAGATCTGGATCGTGATCGTCTAGGAAAAAAAACAAGAAAAAAACGTCTCGAAAGTAGGATTCGTTTATCTCTTTTCAAGGGAGAAAGGTAATTTCTGAATAGCGAGTGAATTTTTTGGACAAGGAGAGGAATAAAATGGCCCACGAATCGAGAATAGGGAATGTGGGATGGTGGTAGAAAAGGGTGGAGCATGTGGGTATGCTGGAAAGTGGATATGCGACACTGAACGGGCATTGGAATGATTTATGGAGTATGAAATGGGACGAAAAAGAAACGGAGGATTGAGGAGGATAGCGATGGAGTCCAGAGACGTTTCGTATTATTTCTCTTTAAGATTCGTTCGAGGAATCGAAATATTTTTGTGCGGGTTTAAAAAGCGAGTAAAATATGCGCAGCGAAGTATTTCGACTAAGAATCGTCGAGAAAATCGATTTCGAATATTTGATTTATGAACAAGGATAGAGTTAAGAGGAGCGAATAGTTCGAGAATATTTTTGTATAGAGATTGTTCCTCGTCGAAAAAGGAGTAAGATATGTGCAGTAAAGTTTTCACCTAGAAATCTCCATTTATGAGAAAATCGATGTTGAACGTTCGTGGATTGGTTCCATGTCACTCGTGCTCCGCCATATTTTCAATTTCGATTTTCGAGAAAATCATAACTCGTATCGAAAAATCTTTCTCTGTCCATTTTTCTATCCAATTTTCGACGAAGAATCAAATATATTGAAAACAAGGATTGAGTAATTTTCAAAAGAAAAAAGAAAAAAGAGTAATTTCTCTAAGCATTTTAAGTAAGTGCATTCGAAACGATTCCGAGAATATAATCGATTGTTCACCGACTACCGAAACAGTTTCTTCTTTGCAAGCGGTTGGTGCATCTCCCGCGCTTTTTTGCCTACCATAATGCGGTGCACGGAGTGTTTCGAACCCTCGTCTCTCATCGAATGTTCCTTCTTGTTCCCTCCGTCTCGCAACGACACGCACAACTTTTACGACCGACCATTTATAACCGGCTGTCCACGTGAGGGGGCCCAGGGGCGACGTGCACGGCCCTGCTCCTCTGGAATAATTAATCCCCTGGAATTTTCACTAAAATTCTATAAACGAGACGTTAGCTACTGTTAACCAACTCGACGATTCGACATTTACTCATTAATTATCAGAAAAAGAATTAAAATTGTTTATAATAGAGTTAATGCCAAATGATAATTTGTTATGATAACGATAATTTGTGCAACCATTGACTCGATTCCACACTTTCTTATCTTAATCCCCAGCTATCTGATTAATATACGAACATTCTCCAACTTGTTATTGTCAATTTCAAAACGAAGATCAGATTGCAATCGAAACTTGATTAGAACTTGAACAATACACGAGTTGTATTCGTGAGACATCTTTGGAGTTGATTCTAGAGGCCAAAGCAAACACAAAAGTTAATATACAAAAATGTTGATTAAAGCTTAGTTATTAAGTTATAAACAATTGAAGTTTGTTGAGTTCTACGATTATTTTAACCTCTTGAATCGAGAATTATCTTTCCTAACGTACTGTACGAACTGTACGGGCAAAATTTTCATAAAATTGAAGTTAAGAATAAAGTTACATTAATAAGTCAATTTAATGATTTATTATTCAGCATCGAATAACTGCAAATAATTATGGTCAAGCGGCTGATATTAGAGAAGAGCGAATCTATAAATAGCTGTAATAAATACAAATAAATGTTACTGAGTGAAATTATTTAAAGTTTATTCGAAATTGTTAACTAGTTACTTTTTCAACGGGTTAGTGGCCAACGCTGTCTAACATATAACCTCAAATATATAACCTAATTTAACTTTCACAATCTCCATAATCACAGCAAGAAGAGAGAGAGATATTCATTATTATTGCACAATCTATAAAATTTTCATACATTAATCATCAAGTTACTTACAGTGATAAATAAATTGAAAAAGAAAAATTATCGATGAATAATTGGAACGTTTCGACGTCTGGCTACCGTAATCGTTACCGTTACGCTTGGCAGTTAATATAACGTGTCCGCGGGCAATTAAAAGCAACGACGGGCAATTAGCAACGTCCTTATCGTTCATCGGCTTGCTGCCAGCCGATCGCGAGATTCCTGAGAGATAAGGATCTTCGGATAACACCGTTAACTTATCGCCATTGATCTTCTCGAACCCGCTCCGAAATCGATCGAGGTCAACGATTACGTCTCGCGAATCACCACCTTCTCCCTTTTTTATTGGTAAAAATTATTCTGGAACATCTGCACGATAACAAGATTCCACTTGTTAGCAACTAAGCAAATACGTTTTTATCTTCTGTTTAAAATGGCTCTGTACGTGTGTCGAGAATAGATGTCAGCCTGATGAGGAAGATTTTCTTTTCTGATTAATTGTTAAAGAAATTATATTCGTTTAATTTTCGTGTCTGCGTTATTTTATGTCTTCTCTTTATTCTATTTGATCAAAATCAAACTAAAAAAGAAGATAACTTAATCTAACTTAACCTAACTTTTTGATTCGATATTATATTCATATTCAATTTTTGTATGCGCGTTAAATATTTCTAATTTTCAATCTCTTATAATAATATAATAAAAAAAAATGTTAATTGAAAGAATATAAATTATCTAATCATAATTATAAGTAGTTATTGAGTCAATGAAATTTTTATTTCAATTCTTCAAATTTTTCATAATTTGGAAGATTTTTCGTAAGTAAAAAGTTTTTGTCTTGTTTGTAAATTTTTTTTTTTTCGAAAAGAGAAGAGTAGAAAGGTTTGAAGGCAGTCCCAACGGTCTAGAAGACTCTCGATCGTCCGTTGTTAGAGCGAGGAGGGACTGTTATCGTGGATCTTGGGTAGCCAGAGCCCCGGTAGTGATGATGGTATCGGCACGGCTCGTCCAGAGACATTGATTTTCCATAAATACAGATGCGATGCTAATTAGATGCCAGTTGCACTTGATGTGCTCGTTCCTCGATTTGAGAATCGATTTTAGAATAAATATCAGCTTTGAAAATCAAAATTGATTATTTCTTATCTTATAATAGCAGGAAAAATTTGTTTCCGATCTTGCTGATTTATAATGTAAAAGATAATTTCTATGAAAAAAAGTGAATTTACATGTAAATGTTTCTCAAGACTAATTTAGTATATTTTTTTCTGAGAAAGAAACTAATTTCATGGATCATTTAAATTATTGGAAATCTTTATCTCAAATTTTATATTTATTTTCCCTTTTTAGTGAAAAATCTCGAATTTTCCAAGATTTTGTAAGGGAACATAAATAATTAATTTTTTTTCTATGATCTACACCAATATTTACGAGCGGTTCGACGGTTTTAGGTCGATAGAACGAATCAGGGTTTCTCTGAACAACTCAAACATATTTGTCACGCTCCTGGATCGAGTTTCTATTGGTTTCTTTCAAAGTCCATTTCAAAAACGCGCTTCGTTTTACAGTTCCACCCTTATCTGCATGATCTTTCTCTTAGTTTCGTCGAACTGTTTTTACCGTTCTTCGTGAGTCATTCAGATTCTCCTTAGAATTTGTGAGAAAATATTTAGTTTCTCTGTATACTTTAAAACAAAATTTATTTTCTTTGCGAAAAATAAATTAAATTTAAATTAGATGAAAGAAATTATAAATATGATTAAATTTTAGATATATTTATAGATGTCTCTAGAAACGTCGCTTGAATTCAGATCAGAAATTAGAACATTCATAGAAGTACTCTAGTAACTTTATTATAAATTAGAACACTCAACGTACTATATTTTTCAAATTTTTTAAAATTATGAACGATTTTAATAAGACTTTGTTTGAATTCAAATTACAAATTAGAATATCATACTATATCTGATATTAGTATGATCTAAATTTTTAGAAAATTCATGGCCGATCCTAGTAACTTTTGCTTGATCCTTATTTATATATTTTCGAAATCTTAAGAATTAAATAATCTAATATATCGTTACTGTAGATCACCTCTGACCCAATGATTTAAAACGAATTTAAAACGTTTAAAACGAATTTGAATCGAATAATTTACGTGTGTTTCGTGCAGGACAGGAAGCAACGTTAGATTCCGGAGGTGGCATAGGGATTCCAGGGGTAGCGTGTCTCGTAGATCGCTAGGTTTATGGAACGGTGCCATGGCACGGCAGATGATTACCGCCACTTACGACATTCGCTCGCCGATCGTTCGAGTGCTTTTACATCGAGGTGGCGACTTATCGATCCGGTCCTTATGCCTCGTACACACAACGTGTAACCTCGAAAGGTCGAGCTCATTTGCATAGCCCGCATTCGCCCTCTTGAGACTTTATTTCTTTATGTGTATCGCGTTCGTTTCGGTCGTTGAACAATTTCATTCGAAAGATCGTACGTAATCAGCCAATCGTTTATTTTCTGTTGATATCTGCAGTTAATTTGAAATTTTTTTTTAAAATAAAATTCTCTTTTTAGGTTATGTTTCATGTTTATTTCTATGGACAAACTTTATTTAAGATATCATACGAAATCTGTGGTAAATTTTCTATCGATATTTGCATTTAATTAAGAAATTTTTTGAAATAGAATTTTTTTTTTTAGGTTATATTACGTGTAGAAAAACGGATCTATTTTGCACGTCTTTTGCAAATTTTTTAATTAATCTTCCACGATTAATTTTAAGTTCTTAAAAAATCTGAGAAAATTTTGAAATATTTGTTGAAATACTTTACAATTGTGTAATTAAATATTTGAAAGATTTGTCAATCAAAAAATAAGGAATTAAAGAGATTTAAGATCCAAGTTGCAAATGAAAAGTTAAAATGATAGATATGGATAAAACTTGAAAGGAACTTAAATCAAAGTCCATGTTCTAATCTCTAATCCTGAGCTCTGTTATACTCGATTAGGTTAACGACTATGAGATCCCTGGTGTCAAGTTCGATTTGCCGGTTCGCGAGCTTGTTATCTAATAGTTAAGCCGATAGTGACGATGTTAGCCAGTCAACGAGGCCTCTTATCTAATGTTTGACTAACATCAGCCAACGATCGGAGTTCGGTTCTATTCGGTTCACGATCTCGTTGCGTAATCTCTTGTCAACATCTTACTTAACTTACTACCGACTTCTTACGACTAGCCTCTGTTCAACCATGGTTTCGCAAAGTTATGAATTTATCGGTGAAAATTTAAAGTTTTGACACGAGCAGGACGTTGATATCAGTCAGACAATATCGCGTATCCGCGTCTATTTATGGAAGAAACCAACAAAGAACCAACCAAAGCGGATGCCATGCCTTGACTCGTAATATCCTGGGTTCATTTTTTCCCTTTTATCTCTTTGATTTTACAATTTTTTAGAATTTTCAAAAAGTTTTCTTATTTCAATTTTCCGTAGATTTTAGAAAATTTTAAAATGTTCGAAAGTATCTTTCAATTGGATGAATCAAGTTATTTTAGGTTAGATTAGGTTTTTAGAATTTTTGAATTTTCAAAGTATTTTTGAATTAGGCAATTCAAATTAAAATTAATTGTTTATTCTTTGATTATTTTTTTTATTTTACTTAGAGAAATAAGATTTGGAAAATGTATCATTCTTTATTCATTTTATATACTATTGTATAGTATTATATAGAAGATCGTAAAATCAACGATGATTCAGGAAAGATTCACCCGTAATCAAAATTATACAATCATTAGTAAGAACAAACGAGTTTCCTATCTTTCTCGATTGTTCTCCAATCCAATATTCCCTATTCACGAATTCATATTTTCCAATAAAAATAACACATAAGATAATGAAATCTCTGGGGTCGATTTATATTATCGATTTCGTTGATCTCCTCTATCCAGATCACTGTATTGTGCGAACAATCGTCTGTAAATAATGCAAAAGAAAGCGAACGTATTATCATTATTTTTTTCTTTATCCTGCGCCGACGATAACGATGAAAATTGTTTACGAACATTTTATCTGCGAGAGGTATCTCTCTTATTATCGTATATTTCGTATAAAATATTAAAATATTCAACTGGAATTTGCTTATTTGACGATAAACGAGTTCGCATTTTATAAATTATTAAAATTTCAATTTTTTTTTTAACGAAATTAAATGTGAATACATTAGAATCGTCTAGTTCTTTTCTAGTGAAATTTTTACTGCGAAAAATTTTTTTCATTAGTTTTTTTTTTTTTAGTCTAATCTTTTAAATTTCGAAAAAATCGAAGAAAAACTCGTACGTCTAATGATTGACAAGGAAGTTCTCGTAAATTAATCAAAATGGCGGTGAAAAATTACGGTAATCTTCACGGTCGTCGTGCTATCTTTCGGTTATTTATAGTTGCGAGCATACAACAATGACAGGTATATTCGATAAGGAATGCTTAGTTAGAAACTGAACATTATCCTCGTTTAGAACGGAATGGAAGCAGAACAATCGAGGAAAATTCTTTTAATTTTACGTTTCATTGAACTTTTCATCGACTCGTCCTATCTATTTGTAAATTAATTCTATGCATTT